TTAACTCTCCGAGTATCACATTACCCTAACCGGAATATTCATGCATTTTTTGAGTGGTGATCTAAAGTTTCTTCTCTGTATTGCCTCAGAAAGGTTTTTACCAGTTTGTGCACAAATGAATTCATTTTTGTTACGATCAAGCCGAAGTATTCATTGAGTACTTGACGCTACCTTTCTAAACACAATATGATTATAAAGTTCAAAACCTTTTTATATAGGTGGAACGAAGCTATTGAAATTATAATAATATCCTTACTCTTAGTGCATTACAGATTCATTACTCTTATTCCTTAGGTATTTCAACATTCAGATTTTGAATTTCGACCTTTATTTCTTGAGCACATGCAGCTGATGATACCACAGATTTAGAAACTGCATGTTTTTACAAATTCAAAGTGTTGGGCTGAGCACATTTTAACAGCTGGCTGACTATAATACTTTTAAAGGCTTACTAGCTTGTAGCTAATCTTAGAAGTATAGTTTTTATACAGCGTTTATATAATCTTAGTACCCGGTATAACCTCTCTTTTTTAGCTTCAGTAAGCTTTCAATCGAAAGTTGATCTAAGTTGAAACTTTAAAAAGTAAAAAATACTGTGAGTAATGAGGTGAAGTTACGAAAACAAACTTCTATGTCTAGGAAATGTATTTGTAATAAGTCCCCCCCCCCCCTCAGTCTCCAAAGTCAGAAACCATGTCGGTGTTCGGGAAAAGGTTTCAAAATACACTGATTTATACTCGACTGAAAGATTTGGTAGTTTTAAAAAGCCGGAGGGAAATGGCTGTGGCATTTTGAAAATATTCAGCACACCAGTGGAACATGAAAAAGAACAATGTTTTATAAATTACAGTTGCCGGCCAACCGGGGCTACTCACCTTGGTAGAAACGATAACCAGTTCAGGTACTGTGAGCTCGGACAACGCTGCTCGCTTGCTCGCGGAGTACAACAGAGGCAGATGCCGTTAGGGAGAGACCCCTCAAGATTTCAGAGCGGAGAATCAAGGTGTGCAAGCCGGAGGGATGAGTAGTGCGAGAAGTTGAGAGGTGGTGGTGGTGGGTGGGTGGGTGGAGGCAACGAATGAGAATGTGGAAGGGAGGGGGGATGGGTTAGAGATTTGAAGGGGAGGGGGGAGAGAGGAGGAGAAAGGATTCCATGCCAGAGAGTTGAGCAGTTGGTGGCTGATTTCTCCAAAATAAGCCGCCCAGGAGAGGTAGGTAGAAAGCGGTAACGGAATCCTTCTGGGAGATAACTCCCGCAGAGAAATTAAGAGAAAAAATATAGGATAATAAATTTGAAGTTGGGTATATTACGGAGTAAAGTGGTCGTAGGTGGGTAGTAAAAAGGGAATAGCATGCATGCAAAGATATAGAAGGGGAGATTCTTTTAATCAGTGGAATTCATCGGAAGAAAAAGTTAATTGGAAAGGTACGCCACCGATAACAGAAAATGAACAGACGGCACAGCGAGCTAACTGGGGTGGCTATGGGCTACCGTATTGGCTTGTGTGCGAGGTGCGAATATACGCATGAAATCTAAAAGAAAAAAAAAAGGTTCCGTCAGTCGGAGTGGGGAATACTATGTAAACCATCCATTTTATACACTGACAATCTCCACTTCACCTATGTCCGGCCAGCATTCATGGACTCTGGTCTAGCAAATAAAACGCTGCTTACTTTTTTCTGTTTACCATAGCCTTAGAGACTTACTGTTGCCTTTATCTATCTCCAAAGTTATGTGAGCTTTTACGAAATGAGATTTACAATAAGAAAGATAAAATTATCAGGGGAAAAACAAAAAATATGATCTCAATTCTATACTTATAAACTTTATCGCGAGACAGATTGTTTCACCTCTCATAACTACAGTAAGTTGACGTCTTGACTGTCTCTGTGTGTAGGGGGGGGAGGTGTGTGTGTGTGTG